GTTGCCCAATAACTTGAATTTAATATTGTATATTTTACATGTTAAGCATATTTTATTTGTTAAATTAGATTTTTTGTAAGTTATGTTTTTTTTTATTGATTATGGACAAAACAAAATTGACTATTGAATTTGTATGATTCGTGTTTGTAATATTACTTGAATGAAAGAGAGAGATACAAAAGAATATTTTTGTGATATATACTATCTATCTAATATTTATTACATAATTTTCTTTTAGAAATATACTATCTTTCTCCGTGTCTACAGAGAGATGTAGTATTTACTTGAATCATACACTATTTAATTTTTTTGTGATATTTTCGTGAGATACAGAGAATAATATTGTGAAAATTTGATAGTTTTTTGCATGAATTGAGCGTGAAAAAGAGAGATACAGAGGAATGAGAGAGAGATTTGTTTGATTTAAGGAATAGATTTAGGAGAATTAAATTTTGGAATATCAAATTTGGAAACCATAAATTTTGAGCAGCAAAAATATTTTAACAGAGTTAATGTGGTATGTTGGATCAAAACGATCTGAGACGTCAATAGCTTAAGACAGTTTGAGATAATATCGTTAATTAGATGATGTTTTTTTTTGTCACAAAACGATTTAGATCACTCTTTGTCTCCAAAATTCAACTTTATTATATAGATTAGGATTATTACACGACAAGTGTGTACTGTTTTTTTTAAAAGCAATTAAAATATTTACTGTAATTAACTTTTGAGTGAGTTATTAATATATGAGTAGTGCTTAAGTTATTAATGGGTTTTGGGGGTCAATATCTATGTAATATAATATAACTAATAATTTCAATTGCGCATTTATAAAACATGACAATAAATGAGATTAATCCAATTTTCATCCAAAAGTACAAAATTTATTCTAAAACTATTTTTGCCACTCAAAAACATTATTTTATGTACACGGCCTTCAAAATCAAAAACTCAACCAACATTTTTTTATTGTCTAGTAATCTACGCTTATTTGTTTTTTCTCTCCCCTACCTCTCTCTTCTTTTTCTCTATCCACTTTAATTTTAAACTAACATAATTAAAAAAAATTATTACAAAGTGATGGTGTGTGGACTAGAAATATGACGATCCCTTGTAAGTGAATGAATGAGTAGTGCTTAAGTTGAAGAGCTTAAGGCTAGAGTATATAATTGCAAGTATGAAAATTAGGTAAACAGACAGCGAAGATGTCAAGTTATAGTGGTTTATCAGCTTTGCAGCTTGATTAGTCTACTCTAATGNATATCTAAGTTGCCCAATAACTTGAATTTAATATTGTATATTTTACATGTTAAGCATATTTTATTTGTTAAATTAGATTTTTTGTAAGTTATGTTTTTTTTTATTGATTATGGACAAAACAAAATTGACTATTGAATTTGTATGATTCGTGTTTGTAATATTACTTGAATGAAAGAGAGAAATACAAAAGAATATTTTTGTGATATATACTATCTATCTAATATTTATTACATAATTTTCTTTTAGAAATATACTATCTTTCTCCGTGTCTACAGAGAGATGTAGTATTTACTTGAGTCATACACTATTTAATTTTTTTGTTATATTTTCGTGAGATACAGAGAATAATATTGTGAAAATTTGATAGTTTTTTTGCATGAATTGAGCGTGAAAAAGAGAGATACAGAGGAATGAGAGAGAGATTTGTTTGATTTAAGGAATAGATTTAGGAGAATTAAATTTTGGAATATCAAATTTGGAAACCATAAATTTTGAGCAGCAAAAATATTTTAACAGAGTTAATGTGGTATGTTGGATCAAAACGATCTGAGACGTCAATAGCTTGAGACAGTTTGAGATAATATCGTTAATTAGATGATGTTTTTTTTTGTCACAAAACGATTTAGATCACTCTTTGTCTCCAAAATTCAAATACTTTATTATATAGATTAGGATTATTACACGACAAGTGTGTACTGTTTTTTTTAAAAGCAATTAAAATATTTACTGTAATTAACTTTTGAGTGAGTTATTAATATATGAGTAGTGCTTAAGTTATTAATGGGTTTTGGGGGTCAATATCTATGTAATATAATATAACTAATAATTTCAATTGCGCATTTATAAAACATGACAATAAATGAGATTAATCCAATTTTCATCCAAAAGTACAAAATTTATTCTAAAACTATTTTTGCCACTCAAAAACATTATTTTATGTACACGGCCTTCAAAATCAAAAACTCAACCAACATTTTTTTATTGTCTAGTAATCTACGCTTATTTGTTTTTTCTCTCCCCTACCTCTCTCTTCTTTTTCTCTATCCACTTTAATTTTAAACTAACATAATTAAAAAAAATTATTACAAAGTGATGGTGTGTGGACTAGAAATATGACGATCCCTTGTAAGTGAATGAATGAGTAGTGCTTAAGTTGAAGAGCTTAAGGCTAGAGTATATAATTGCAAGTATGAAAATTAGGTAAACAGACAGCGAAGATGTCAAGTTATAGTGGTTTATCAGCTTTACAGCTTGATTAGTCTACTCTAATAGAATCTTTTGATTATTGGGTATTTTTGTATTTTTCTTTCCTAGAAGAAGATGAAATTCAAATTTTCTCTCATCTCTGTTATAAACTAAAACCACAAGTAAAATAATAGCACAACAAAATAAAAAAATAGAAAAAAAAGATTTACGTGGTTCGACTCAACAAGCAAGCCTACGTTCACGAACAAAATAACGACAAGATTTCACTATTAAAGATTAGAAATTACAAAGTTTTTAAAACAAAGGCAACAAGAAAACGTATTTACTCTATCACTATTACAAAATTAATAGTGTCCAAAACTCTTTACTCGAAGAAAACCCAAAATAGAGCAAACCCTAAAATTTTCAAAACCAGAAAATTCGTCTTCGTCGTCAATGTCAATGATCCAATCAAAGCCACTGAAGACCGAACTCTCCTTCTTTCCCAAAACTTCCTGACCAAAGAAGCTATTATTACATTAAGTTGCATAGTCAAAGCCTTTTCTCCAAATCTCCATTACGTGATGAACTCGAACACCTTTTCCTAATTACATAAAGAAACCACCATGTATTGAAATACAAACACTCATGAGCCTTATCCAAATAAAAAATAAATCCAAATAAGTATTTGAATACAAATCATTATAACAAATCTCCACCTTAACATGTATTTCATCAAGTCATCCAACTAAAGTGAACTAGATGGTTGTCTTCGCCAAATACCCCGAAGGGTATAATTCAAATAATGCAAACACCGATCAAGTCCAAGCAATACTTGAACTTGAGCACTGGTACCGACTTAATAAACATATATGTTAGGTTTTCTGTTGTAGCAACCTTTTTCACTGTGACAATACCTTGAGTCATAACCTCACGAAAGAAGTGATACCTAACATCAATTTGTTTGGTCCTTTCATGACACATCTGAGTTTTGGTCAAATGTATTACATTTTGACTATCACAGAACACAGTAGTCACCTCCTCTTATAAGCCCAAATCACAGACCAAACCTATTAACCAACTTGCTTCTTTAACTGCCTCTNATCATAAAAAAAATGTATCAAACAAAATATTAATTGGGTGTTAATTTTAAAAAGGGCAAAATTCAATTTACCCCCTTGTGGTTTGAGTGTTTTGCACATGACCCCCCTATGATTTGAAAATCAGTACATTACCCCCTTGTATTTTTGGACCGATATACACAATTAACACCGTAAACAGAAGTGATAAAATGACTTTAATACCCTCAAACTATTCATCATCTTCTTCCTCCCTCTCNGTATTACATTTTGACTATCACAGAACACAGTAGTCACCTCCTCTTCTAAGCCCAAATCACAGACCAAACCTATTAACCAACTTGCTTCTTTAACTGCCTCTGATACTGCCATATATTTTGCCTCTGTGGTAGACAAAAGCAGCTGTAGATTGTAGGATTGCCCTCCAACTTACAGTGCACACAAATAAAGTAAAAATATAACCTGTAAAGATCTCCTCTTATCTAAATCACTTGTATAATTTGAATCAACAAAACCAATAATTGTAAAATAGATGTCATCTCTTCTACCAAATACTAAGCCAGCATTTGTAGTGTCTCTCAAATAACGAAATATCCATTTCACACCCTGCCAATGAACCTTCCCAAGATTAACCATGTAATGGCTAACCACACTAACTGCCTATGAAATATTTAGACGGGTGCAAACTANTACCAAACTTCCTTAAACCAATGTCAATATCCTCCACTCTCAACCTAGTTTTAAACCCCACAGACTTGTTTCCTTAAATAGCCCCCATGACCCACAAATTTACGCTCAAAGGTGATCACAAACTCATTTTACCAGGTTATGTACATACCAGATTTTTTCAACGTTTGTGCCAACTTTGACCCTTATTTTCTCCCTATTTTCTCAACTTTTTTGGGTGATTCAAATGTCTAAATTTAACCTATTTCTACCTTCTTTCCAACCATGTATTTAATTTGTCCAGATCATGCACAAGGTAAGTGGAAATCGAGTTCCAAAGTGACGGGTTCATCATTTTAAGAAATTGTCACAATTTTTAATTCAATTTTTCACCCACCAAATCTCATTCTTTCTCGATTCTAAATTCAAAAATGGATTCTTTGACCCTAAAAATGATGGATTAGGCCCCCTTCACCTCCGAAACTAGAAATTTTGAATACTCAAAAATTCAAATTTCAAGCTTAAATAAGGATTTTGATTTTCTCTCACCATACACCATAGCCACTAAAGAAACTTTAGAAAATTGTTACTGAATATGAAAACAAGCTTACCCTATCACAGAATTGTGGATGATGTCTTGTAGCAAAAGTTCTCTTTGCTCGGGTTTTACAATACTACCCATTTGCACAACACAAACTCAAACCCCCAATCACCCTAATCGAAGCTGATGTGTAGACTTTTTCAAAGTCGGTTTACCCGTGCCGATGGTATATTTTTCAGACTTTAATGAAGCAAAGATCGAGCATAGCCATGGACGCCGACGACGTCGAAGCATTCAAGATCTTTAAGCGAGAAGCCCAGGTATCGCACTTGTCGATGAGTTGGACATTAACTTAGCCACAAGACATGGTATACCTTAGAGAGAAAGAAAGAAAGAGAGGCTGTGGTGGGTAGAAGTTGCAGAGAACCTGTGAATTGAGAGAATCAGAGGGACTGCCAAAAGAAGAGAGAGAAAGGGACATAAAGCTTGAGGGTACTTTGGAACTTTTAACATACTTCGTGCATACCAAATTGTACAGGCGCGTGAGGTATACAAACTGTTAAATTGGAAGAAAAAGTTGACAGTGTATTTTAGTCCAACAACTATAGGGGGTAATGTGCTATTTTCAAAGCTCAGGGGGGTTATGTGCAATCAGGGTAAACCACAAGGGGGTAACCTGGAGTTTGCCCTTTTAAAAAATAATATTAATTTGATAAAACTAAATATTAAATTCAAAAAATTAAATGTTAATTTTATAAAATCGAATGACCATTTGGTGTTAATTTGAAATTCAATAAAAAAAATGATGTTAATTTGATAAATTGAATGTTAAATTGATGAAATTAAATGCTAATTTAGAGTTAATTTGGTGAAATTGAATATTGATTTGGTGTTNTTCGTCGACTATTGACGATGCTGGAGCAGCCCTCTCTCTCATCGATGGTTGATGTGAAATTTGATGCAGCAATGCATGGTGAACATATTAATTCCTTGATGGAGGTGGATACCGTAGCATTCACCGAGATACCTCCTGTTCCGTTTTTATTTAATTCATATACAAAATTTTAGAGATTTTAAAAAATTTTATATTTTATTGAAATATATAATTAGATTAAAATGTACTAAAAAAATTATTTTGTGTGATTTTATTAAGATTTTGTTTCAATTAAATAAAAATTGAATTTACTATTTCACAATAATTTTGTCTTAATCCTTACTTTTTTGTCATTTTTGAACTGAATTTTTTTGTATTAATTTCATATAAATATTTTTTTGTATCAGTTATATTTTGCTCCCCTCATAAATATTTCTGACTTTGTCCCTAACAATATACATTATTTTTTGGCATTTTTTTATGTTAAATGGACTTCAAGTATCAAATATGATATAATAAATATAAATATAATATGCATTGTGATTGGTTAGGAAGAAAAAAATTAAAATACGTAATTAAAGTGTTCACCCTGAATAAAATTCTTCGCTCCACCCCTGATCGGAACAATAATGAGGATGGTTGTGGTCAGAGTCATGCCCCAGTCAAAGAGTGTTAGTTTGGGTCTCGAATTATTTGATAATGTTTCTAGATCATTGGTACCCTATGGTCAGCTTTTCATTTTGTGTAAACATTAATAAACATTTGATAAATTACCACTAAAACAATATCACGGGATAACCATTGATGAATTTTTACCAAATATATACATATATTTGATTATGAAGGGCATATTTGTAATTGTGATGTAAATAAGTATTTTTTTTTATTGACCATCCAAACACACTTTTTGTAAAATCAATTTTTTTTATCAGATCAAAAAAGAAAATAATTTTTTTTAATAAATATCCAAACGATGTTTATTGGGAAAAGTGTTTTTTTAATAAACAATTTAAACAAAAATAATTACACAAAAATTACTTTTGAATTAAATAAATCATCCCAAATGGTACCTAAATCCTAGTGNAATATGGAAACAAATAATTGATTGCTTGGTTTATGCAATCAATTATTTTACAAATAACACAGATAAGGAAACTAATAATTGATTGCTTGGTTTATGCAATCAATTATTTTACCTTCCATTCATATATTCCCACATGATAAATAAATCTTGTTTACTTTCATTTCCGTNATTTATAGCAAATCTAACTAGAGTACTAGTAAATGAGTTACCCTACATACGGACTATGGATCAGAATATCGTTTTGAAATGGTAGAAATGTTCGCAATGTTTCTATTTTCAAGAAGATTGAAACAAATCAATGATAGAATCAAAATTTTAATATTTCGAGGTATTCCATAATATTTCGAGATATTCTATAATATTTCAATGCATTTGCACAATTATTTCAGAATATTTTAAGGTATTTCAAGATATTTTAATATATTTCAATCAATATTTTAGAAAATAATTCTTAAATTTTTTATTTTTTTCATTATGTTTCCGAAATAAGTCGAAACGTTTCCGTTTCCTAAGTGATCAAAACAATACACCGAAACAAAATTTTGATCCATGGTATGGACCCAACACAAAAAATTTTGAAAAATGTTGAGAAGCTCCATTTGAAAATTTTTAAAACACATTTTAGATTTTAAAATCAACTAGAGTTTACATTGATTTAGGAGTAACAATTTCTAACACGACATGAAAACACAATTTGAAATTAGCGGTTTTGGTTGACCATTCTTGACACGAACCTGTAAATGACATGATCTGTTAATACAAATAATAAATGAGTTGAGTTGGTGTCAGACACTAATAATGCAAAATTGACACGATTAACCAGTATTATAGGATTAAAACGATAATTTATTGTTATTTTTATCAGGTATTTACATAATTCTTGTACAAACAAAAATATTTACGGTTTTATTATTATTTCTATTAAATTAATTTTTAGTTAATAGAAAAAATATAAGCATCAGTTCAATTAATTGATAATAAAATTTTAAATTTAAATCTCTGCTATAAAATTTTAATTTATAGGTTATATAGTTCAACACGAACATGATAGAAATAACATGATTAATTAAATAGGTTAGATTTGATTTGACTAATATTTAATACAAACACGTCTGATACGACACAANATCAAACACGGATTTTAGAAAGATGGTTTTTTGGTTCGCTCATTATTAGACCATTGAACCAACAGGCTAGGGTTTTGCAACACCTCACTTTTTATGGCATCTATTGATTTAACATCTCGCTTTTTCTCTTTTCTTATTAGTAAGTTCTTTTTTCGAAATGGACAATTTTTCAAACCACTAATCAGCTGTTAGGTCATAAGCATCTATTAGAGTTTGGTTGTTAGGGGCAATAAGATCCATATGTCGCTTTTTGGACACTAGAACCAACCCATTAGGGTTCGTAACATCTTACATTCCATGACTTTTATACTAGTCATCGATTTAACATATCATTTTTTCCTCTTAAACAGTCAGTGAAATTCAATTATATCACCAATGCATCAATTCAAAGCATAACCTCAGTAGATAGCAAGTTCTTCCACTTCGCCATTTGTGAGAGTGAGAACATTATTGTCTCCAACGTGAAGATATCAGCACCTGGTGACAGCCCTAACACCGATGGAATCCATGTTAGCAACTCGAAAAATATCAAAATATTGAACTCCAGCATTGCCACTGGAGATGATTGTGTATCCTTAGGTCCTGGGAATACAAACGTATCCATTTCTGGTATTTCATGTGGACCTGGCCATGGAATTAGCATCGGAAGCCTTGGAAAATACCCCAACGAAAAGACCGTGAAAGGAATTTTTGTGAGAAACTGTACTTTTAGCAACACCCAGAATGGTGTGAGGATCAAAACATGGGCTCCTTCCCCACCCAGCAAAGTTACTGGAGTTACTTTTCAAGATATTGTTATGTACAATATAGACAATCCCATTATCATTGATCAACAATATTGCCCTTCCAAGCCATGCAGTGCCAAGGTATGCCTCTGTTAACGTTTACTTTTCTATAGTTACTCATTTTCCACTGCGGATTTTGGACAAACAGTATGTTTGCTTCATTGTGACCTATGCATTAACAATTTGAGTCTTAAAAACCTCCTTCGACCACACAATGGTGGTAGACGTGTGCCCATGGCCGCCATTTTATCGTATGTTATGCTGCACTTAAAATTATGTTATCAAAGTTCTAATTAATGTTAATTATCTTTTTTTGTTGTTTTTTAGGGAGATTCTCTGGTTCAAATCAGCGACGTAAACTACATAAACATTCAAGGGAGTTCGAGTTCAAAAGTTGCAGTGAACGTGCAGTGCAGCCCAAGTTTTCCATGCCAAGGAATTAAATTCAATGGCATAAACATAAGCTACAGTGGCCAAGGAGGACCAGCAACTGCCTCATGTTCTAATGTCAAAGCATCTTTTCAGGGACAACAAATTCCTCCCCCTTGTGTTTAGCTTTTGAACATGCAGCTTTGTAGCGCCCATTAAGCTGTCTTTAAGTTCTGCGGGGCATAAAGCTGTTATATTTTGATTGTTCATAGTAATCTTTAGTTAACAAGAGGCTGAACAATTCACAAGTTTTCATGATTTCATGGTCTTTAATTATAATTGTTTTTGAATTGCATGGCATTTGAAGAGATATTGAATCTCAAATAGTGAGTTTGGGAGGGCGTATTCCTCGTCTTCTTCTTTTCTGAAATGGGTAATAATTTGGTAAAAATTCCAGCTATATTGATGAGTTCAGTGAGTTTCGTTATAAAAATTGACGAGATCTACACATACAAATAAATTCAATTGAAGATGTAATTGAAGGTATCATATGTCTTTATCATGTAGAAAGTAACAAGGAGAGTTAAACTGATTCATTGCTTGACTTATGCAGGTAATTGTGTGGTTTCATATTTATGTCAGTGTAACTATAAAAGCCATTCATGCCTCCTTTGACTGGTGTAATCTTAGTTCTATGTGGAAATTTCGTTCACCATTTTTAGAGAGTCAACTGATTAATTTATAATGTGTATATTAAACCAACGGTTAGAAGTTGTAATCTTATATTAAACTTAAACCGGGTATTCTACAAAGAGCAATCTACAAATCCCTATGAACAAATCAAACCTCCGTCGTAATCTTATATCCAACTTGACTGTTTGGGCAGGTGTCGTTGCTCTTTGTTTTTTCTTTCTTTCTTTTTTTTTTGTAGTCCGTATATATTATATAATAAACTATAAGATTAAAAAAAAATTTCAACGGGAGTGATTAGTCGAGTAAGTAGAGAAACTAAATGAATTTACCATATAGAATGCATAAAGGGGATGCATTTTGTTTAAGATTTCTTTGTTTTTTAACCATAAAATAAAAAGGATATCAAACAAGCTCTTGAATTACATGAATTAAGATTATTCGTGTCATATACCCATTAAGTGTCATATATAGTAGTACTAGCAATTGTCCGTGCCTGAAGGCACGGTGTTACTCGTAAATTAGTTACAAATATTTAGTCATACATAAATGTAAAATAAAATACAACATTGTAGTTAACGACGAACAAAATTTAGTCCTCTAATATTTTTTAGAACATCAACCTACATGCATAATATATATTTTCATATTAAATTGTTACGCCACGAAAATTATGTTATAACTACTGAAACATAATAATTCAAACAGCTGAAAAAAATATATCAGTTGATAATATTCAATGTTATGTTTTTGATTCAAAATCAACGATTTTAACATTCATACTCAACTTTATCTAAATAATAACAGAATTCATAACTAATAAAATGAAAATTAAAACAATACTCCTACAAAAAAACTAAGTTTGCAGATGTTATCAAATGACAAAATATAACTATTAGAAATTCAACTGACTTTCAAAAGATACTCGACTATTGAATTTGTATGATTCGAATTTATAATAGTGCTTTTAATTTTATATCATTTTTCTCAGTTATTCATATTCTTAGTATATTTTCTTAAACTAAACGTTATTTAGTATTAGATTATTTAGTAAATATTGGTGTTTCGTGTTGTTCACTAAATATTGAATTTGTATAATTTGTGTTCATAGTATTGCTTATCATTTTCTATCGTTTTTCTCTTTTGTAATTTTGTATCATTTTTCTCAGGTATTTAAATTTGGATTATTTAGTAAATATTGTTATTTTGTATTGTTTACTAAATATTGAATTTGTATGATTCGTGTTTGTATATAAATTTAATCTTCTATATTTTAAATGTTAAGCAGATTTTCTTTAATATATCTTTTGAAATCTTAGTTGGCCAATAACTTGAATTTGATCTTGTATATTTTACATGTTAAACATATTTTATTTGTTAAATTAGACTTGTTGCAAGTTATGTTTTTTTTTATTGATTATGAAAAAAACAAAATTAACTATTGAATTTGTATGATTCGAATTTATAGTAGTGCTTTTAATTTTATATCATTCTTCTCGGTTATTTATATTTTTAGTATATTTTGTTAAACTAAACATTATTTAGTATTGGATTATTTAGTAAAGATTGTTGTTTCGTGTTGTTCACTAAATATTGAATTTGTATATTTCGTGTTCACAATATTGCTTATAATTTTGTAACGTTTCTCTCGCTTGTAGTTTTATATAATTTTTCTCGGGTATTTAGATTTGTATTATTTAGTGAATATTATTTTTTTATGTTGTTCAGTAAATATTAAATTTGTATGATTCGTATTTGTATATGAATTGAATCTTATATATTTTAAATGTTAAACATATTTTCTTTAATATCTCTTGATATCTAAGTTGCCCAATAACTTGAATTTAATATTGTATATTTTACATGTTAAGCATATTTTATTTGTTAAATTAGATTTTTTGTAAGTTATGTTTTTTTTTATTGATTATGGACAAAACAAAATTGACTATTGAATTTGTATGATTCGTGTTTGTAATATTACTTGAATGAAAGAGAGAAATACAAAAGAATATTTTTGTGATATATACTATCTATCTAATATTTATTACATAATTTTCTTTTAGAAATATACTATCTTTCTCCGTGTCTACAGAGAGATGTAGTATTTACTTGAGTCATACACTATTTAATTTTTTTGTTATATTTTCGTGAGATACAGAGAATAATATTGTGAAAATTTGATAGTTTTTTTGCATGAATTGAGCGTGAAAAAGAGAGATACAGAGGAATGAGAGAGAGATTTGTTTGATTTAAGGAATAGATTTAGGAGAATTAAATTTTGGAATATCAAATTTGGAAACCATAAATTTTGAGCAGCAAAAATATTTTAAAAGAGTTAATGTGGTATGTTGGATCAAAACGATCTGAGACGTCAATAGCTTGAGACAGTTTGAGATAATATCGTTAATTAGATGATGTTTTTTTTTGTCACAAAACGATTTAGATCACTCTTTGTCTCCAAAATTCAAATACTTTATTATATAGATTAGGATTATTACACGACAAGTGTGTACTGTTTTTTTTAAAAGCAATTAAAATATTTACTGTAATTAACTTTTGAGTGAGTTATTAATATATGAGTAGTGCTTAAGTTATTAATGGGTTTTGGGGGTCAATATCTATGTAATATAATATAACTAATAATTTCAATTGCGCATTTATAAAACATGACAATAAATGAGATTAATCCAATTTTCATCCAAAAGTACAAAATTTATTCTAAAACTATTTTTGCCACTCAAAAACATTATTTTATGTACACGGCCTTCAAAATCAAAAACTCAACCAACATTTTTTTATTGTCTAGTAATCTACGCTTATTTGTTTTTTCTCTCCCCTACCTCTCTCTTCTTTTTCTCTATCCACTTTAATTTTAAACNGCACTGGTACCGACTTAATAAACATATATGTTAGGTTTTCTGTTGTAGCAACATTTTTCACTGTGACAATACCTTGAGTCATAACCTCACGAAAGAAGTGATACCTAACATCAATTTGTTTGGTCCTTTCATGACACATCTGAGTTTTGGTCAAATATATTACACTTTGACTATCACAGAACACAGTAGTCACCTCCTCTTATAAGCCCAAATCACAGACCAAACCTATTAACCAACTTGCTTCTTTAACTGCCTCTGATACTGCCATATATTTTGCCTCTGTGGTAGACAAAAGCAACTGTAGATTGTAGGATTGCCCTCCAACTTACAGTGCACTCAAATAAAGTAAAAATATAACCTGTAAAGATCTCCTCTTATCTAAATCACTCGTATAATTTGAATCAACAAAACCAATAATTGTAAAATAGATGTCATCTCTTCTACCAAATACTAAGCCAACATTTGTAGTGTCTCTCAAATAACGAAATATCCATTTCACACCCTGCCAATGAACCTTCCCAAGATTAGCCATGTAATGGCTAACCACACTAACTGCCTATGAAATATTTAGACGGGTGCAAACTATAGCATACATGATGCTTCCAACTGCATTAAAATAAGCAACACGAGACATAAATTTCTCCTCATTCTCACTATATGGTGATAAAACTGCTCAAAGCCTAAAGTGAGTGGCAAGTGGAGTACTCACGGACTGCGAATTCTGCATCGCAAATCGCTCAATAATTGTCTCAATATATTTCTTTTGAGATAAATATAACATAACTACTTTCGTATCCTTATAAATCTCTATACCCAAAATTTTCTTTGTAGCACCCAGATCTTTCATTTCAAATTTTGAACTCAATTGTTTCTTTAACTTATCAATCTCTAACATGCTCTTAGCAGTAATAAGCATGTTATACACATAAAACAATAAATATATAAACGAATCATCTGACAACTGTCTGTAATATATACAACTATCATAATTACTTCTAAAGTAACCATGATCTATCATAAAGGTATCAAAACGTTTGTACCACTGTCTTGGAGATTATTTCAAGTCATATAATGATTTCTTCAATAAGCAAACATGATCTTCTTTACCTTGAACAATAAATCCCTCTAGTTGATGCATGTAGATAATTTTCTCAAGCTCACCATATAGAAAAATTGTTTTTACCAAGTTGCTCGATCTCTAGATTGAGTGAAGTAACCATGGCAAGCAATACTCGAATTTTGCTATAGTCATCGCAAAACCAATAACTCTAATACCAATTTTGTTATGAACCAAAATCACAAGTAAAACAATAACGCAACAAAATAGAAAAAAATCAAATACAAAGATTTACGTGATTCAGCTCAATAACCAAATCTACGTCCACAAATGAAATACAGTGACAAAATTTCACTATTAAAGGTTGGAGATTACAAAGTTTTCAAAACAAATACAAGAAGATAATGTATTTACTCTATCAATATTACAAAATTAATAGTGCCCAAAATTTCTTATTCGAAGCATACTCAAAATAGAGCAAACCCCCAAATTTTCAAAACCAAAAAATTTGTCTTCGTCGTCAATGTCAATGACCCAAGCAGAGCTGTTGAAGACCGAAT